GCCCCGGCCGCTCCTGCGCTGCTGCGGCTGTCAGTGACACTCACAGCGGTGGCCGGGCAGTCCGCCGAGATCGGCCGGCCGATTGGTCCGGTGGTGACTGCTCGACTGCCACCAGGGCTGTACTGGGTAGGAGGTAGTGGTAAACAGCAGATGCGAAAGTGCTACCGGGACCAGTGCATCTCCCGAAAAAACAGCAAAGCCGAGTTAAACTGAATGGGAGCTGATGCGCGCCCTGCCGCGCCATGATCCAGCCGCAGTCTGGGCTGGTCGGGCGAGCTGAGACGGCTTCGTTCGCCGGTCGACAGGACTACGCCCAGATGCGGCCGTTCCCGGTGCCGCTGATCATCTTGGGAGCCACTACGACGCATTCCAAGACTGGGACCCGGAGAAGAAGAAGCTGGTTTGCCGCACGCTTCGCTACGTGGCCCACGTCAACGGGGCGTCGCTGCAGTTCTTCTCCAGCACCGACTCGGCCCTGGTCAAGAAGGCCAAGGAGCTGATTGGCCAGTACGCTTTCGGAGGCGTCACCAGGTGAGAGCGGCGTGACGTGACGCATGCTGCTGCGCCACGCCGTCAGCACGTTAGGAAGACATAGCCGGTGTTGTCGGTTAGGCGCCATGTCAGTTGCTCAGCCCGGTGGTAACTCTTTTTGCCCACTTCGTTGTTTCTGGCATCACGACGCCATGCGACCGCGGCAATGCACCTGCGCATGTGCGGCAGCGTCGTGGCTCGCGAGAGCCCGTGTTTCCCGCGGCAGTTTGCCGCCGCCGCGCTCCTGCGCGCGCGTCCAGCTGTCGCCGCAGACTCGCGGATCCTGTGTTCTGGTCGCGTCTGCGTGCGCAAGCTTTCATCTGTCTGTTTGTGTACGGCTGCGAGCTATACCGGATAGCGGTGCCCGCCCTTCCTGCCATTTGAGAGGCAGGCGACGTCATGTAGCGATAGCAGCTGAGAGCGTCGTAAAGCCTCAGTGACGACGACGACACATGCGGGATGTGAGCTCGAAATACTCCGACCCGTTGGAGTGCCCTCCCTGTCTAACAGTGGTTGGCCGTCCCTTGGTGCCTCCCTCCCTGGTGCCCCCCCCCCCCCTGACTGCGTGTGTGTGTATGTTTGTGTGTGTGCTTGCGTGCGTGTGCGTGCGGCATGCGTGCATGCGTGCGTGTGCGTGTGCGTGTGCGTGTACGTGTGCGTGTGCGTGTGTGTGTGCGTGTGCGTGTGCGTGTGCGTTTGCGTGTGCGTGTGTGTGTGATGGTGTGTGGTGTGTGTGGTGTGTGTGTGTGTGTGTGTGTGTGTGTGTTGCCGTCTCCCCTGCGGTCACCTGGGCTAGGGCCGTCCGTGCCACAGTGGTACCAGTGATTTCGGCCGGGCCTGCCGCGACTTTACGCTGCCGCACTGCGAGTGTTTGTATGTACGTGGTATCGTCTGCCCCGTGCCATGATGTGAGCCTGCCGTGCCTCGATGTCGGCGCCGCCGCTACCGCTACGGGTTGTGCGGTACCGACGTGCGGTGGCGCTCCGGCCCCGCTCTGTCCCCACACCCCGGCCACCTCCGTGTCGTGCCGGCGTGTAGTGATGCTGCGGCGCCCCTCTGTCCCCACACCCCGGTCACCTCCGTGTCACGCCGGCGTGTAGGGATGCTGCGGCGCCCCTGTCCCCACACCCTGGCCACCTCCATGTAGTGCCGGTGTGTGGTGGCGCTGACGGACCGGTGGCCGGTCTGTGTCCGGTGACATGGCGGTCGCCTCCGTTGCTGCAGCGGCCAGCTGGCGCAGGACTACAACAAGCCGCTGCTGGTTCCCGCCGGGGCCGACTCGCTAGCCGGCATACTGGGCGTCGGCGCCGACGCCAGCCAAAGCGCCGTCAAGAACGCGTTCGTCGCTCAGTACCCGCAGGTGCGCCCGAACGGACGGGAAGCAGCGCGGCCGCCAGCTTGTCATGCCTCTCCGAGGAGAAAGGAAAACCACAAAGCCTTAGCGCAGACCCCTGACGTCATAAGTCAGCCGTTGTTACTCGAAAAGACGCTACCTGCACGTAGGTGGTCCCATATGTGGCCACAAACTTCGCACCGGCTGGTGGGCCGGCGTCCGCCCAGCTCATCCTACAACCGCTGTCCCAACGTTACTGCCCATTTCGCTGTCGTTCGCTGTGCATTGTCCCGTGCAACAGATTTGATTGTTGCTTCCACTGCCTTAGTTTACACTGTGCATGACTGACACAGTTGTGGTACAGCCGGTACCACCGGCGCCCTCCCGCGCGTGCGCGGACGTTCGCTGCCTCGTTGAGTGTCCGGCCCGGTCGGGCGTTAGGGCAGGTCGGGGCTGGCGAACGGTAGTCGAGTAACCTGCGGATAGCGGTCCTGTGCTCGGGGAGCGGAAAATATGAACGTTATGAGCGCACCCAGGGGTTAAATCGCGCATTGTAGACGCGCTTGAAGGTAAAATGCAATTACTTTTGTCCTCACTCAGTGTTCTTGGCTGCTGCCGAGTATGATGAGAAGGCACAACGTCGTCCGGTCGCCTCACCCCTCGCCTGCGTCCTGATCAGTTTTCCTGACCTGACCTGACCTGTGGAGCTGCCAGACAGCGGAGCCGAACTCGTGGCGACATTGCGATAACCAGCCCGCGTGGTCCGGCAGGACGCCAACAGCTCCAATGTGCTGCCGGAGGATCCAGCCAAGGACCTCAACTTCCGCGAGAGCGAGATCGATCAGCTGAGGGCGCAGAAGGATCAGGTATGCGGCCAGCAGCAGGAGGCACCCCGAGCGAGATTGCCCTGCCATTCACCGCTGCCGCGCGGAGGGATGGGAGCGGAGCGGGGGAGGGGGAAGAACGCAGAACGGTACCGGTCTTCAGCTGGTGCAAGATGAGGTTAATCCTTGGCACCGTGTGGATAAATTGATTGGAGGTCAACCGTGCGGGGCCGCAGCTGGAGGCATTGACTGCACTGCCTGGGCCGTCCACTGCGGGCATACCGGTTGTATTGCTTTTGCGCCGTTACCATGGAGACGCGTTCCAAGAGCCGCCGCAGCCGTGTCCGCGGCAACCGAATGGGACATCAGCATCGAGCTGTGTCTGCGCACTTAGATTCAATGGCTCTGAGGGCTTGAAACGCCCTTCAGCCCAAGTCATCATCATCATCGACGTCGTCGTTGGCGTTCACAACGGTCTCTGCTGAATGGCAGAGTGATATCGACTCCGACGATCGGCATCGCATGTCCTCATGTGTTGCTTACGGGTGATTGCTTTGGCAAATGGTGACCGTGCCCCCTGCGCCGGTGGTGATGCTGCATGCGGTTCATAATGGACACCAACTCGTATTTTCCATATATGTGAACGTTATTATATAAGATGTTCATGTGATCACCTTTCCAGATTAATCTTAGATCTGCTAATGATGGCCACCAGACAGACTGCATGCAAGCAGAGGTTATGCGTCCTGGAGGCCTTGTTTTGCCCGACATAGCCTCATTAAAGGGACTCTGGCGGCCTTGACCTGGCGTCTTCTGATGACTCCGATCCGGCCTGCGACGGCCTCGTGTGACGGTCCTGACCTGGCCTGGCGACCTTGACCTGTTTCCCGGGCCCTGATCCAAACCTTTGGTGGGTTCCTGTGATCCTGATCTCCCCTTCTCTGATAGTGTATGGTAGCCCTATTCATCCCCCTCCCCCTCCCCGGAGGGTCTCGGGTAACCCTGATTGCGTCTCGTTTGGCAGCGCGGGACGGCCCTGACCTAGCCTTCTCTGATTGTCTTGGGCCACCCTGACATGACCTCCCCTGGTAACTTCGGGTGAGCCAGGCCTGGCCTCCTCCTATGACCTTTGGTGGCTCTGGCCTACCCTCCGCTATCATTGGTTGGCCTTGACCTGGCCTGTTCGGATGACCTCAGGTGACCCTACTGTAACCCCCGCTGACGATGTTGAGTAACCTAAGCCCTCTGATGGCTTGGATGATCCGACCTGGTCTGCTCTGTCTGCTCTGACCTGATCTGACCTGATCTGATCTGGTCTGATCCGACCTGGTCTGCTCTGGTGACCCTGTGTGACCTGACCTGACCTGACCTCACCAGGAGCTGGAGCGGCTGCGCCGGGAGCTGGAGCGCCGCAGACGCTGGGGTGAAGAGCTGTGAGGCAGCACCGGATGGGCCGCAACAGGGACTCGATCCGTCCAGAGCCGACGCCGCGCCGTCTGCCCTGCACTTGGCGCCAGGACCGTCCACGGGCGGCCCTAGCGCTCCGACTTCTTTATTGCACTGGTATCTCCGCATTTGTCTTCAGTTGTCTGCGATGGCGCCATTGTCAGTGTTAGCTGCTGCGCTGTGGCCCCGGTCAGCGGATATGACCTGCTTGCCGCCACCCCGACTCACTTTGCACGGACAGGCTCGTGACCGTGCCCGGCACATTGACCGCCTCGCGTTTGACCATGGGCAGCGGCACTAGTTGCCGGTGCGCGGCTACATGTAATCACGTCGGTGACAGGTTGCGACGCGCCCATAGCTAAGGCCCGTGCAGAACCACACGCGACCCGGCGGGGCGATGTCCATTAAGGGCCAGGCCCGGCTGAGTTGAGGGCTTGGGCGCGCGGGCTAATTGCTCGCGGCTGCCCGCTCTGCCGGAAGCCTGTCAACCTTTCAAGTCTAGTCAAGGTATACGCGTTGTCGGTGTGTTTCTCAGCAGCAGGCGACCGGTGGATGGGGCGCTCCTTTGCTATTTGGTTGCTGTCGGCGGGCCAGGGTTTATTGGTGGGCTGAGGCTGGTGCGGGCTGCAGACTGTCAGCATTTCAGGTCTAGTCAAAACGTTCTCATCGCGCACGCGTTTCTCAGCAGCTTATGCACAGTGGGTGGGGACAATGCTCTGCTGTTTGGTGGAGGGCGGTTATTGGCGGACCAGAGCTTGGGACTGAGTCGCATATGACCTAGCCTGACCGGTGATTGAGAGGAATGCATACTGACATGTCGATGCGCACGTGGACAGAACTGCGGCCGGCGGCGCTGGTTGCTATTGATCTCATTGGTCACTGTACCTCGCATGGTTGACATGATCTAAGCTAACTAAGCTTAATTGTTGCACTTTGTTGCGCGCATGAGTATTGGCCTTTTGCTGTAGTGAGCGCACCAAGCAAGTTGGCCGCATCGTGAGATTTTTTGTGTACGAGGATTGTTTATATCCATCAGCTGGTCACGTTTTGCGTTTTTTATACCACTTTTCTGCCTTGGCTGGGCTGTGCACCACGCCAGCAATGGCACTCGTCACACACGCGCTCATGAAATGGAACACAGCTGCTTCTCATCGTCGAGTCTGGATAACATGGCATTGCCACAGTAGACAAGCAAAGTAAGCAGACAGTCACAGTGATTGTGCCTAAAATGCAGGCAAACGTCGACCACTTGAGCTGATTGGATCGATGGACATCATTCAGGTCAAGAGATACAATGTATTATATGGGCGCAGTGCAATAGCGCCGTAGCGAGGGCAACTCTCTGTAAAGAGCGCTTTGGACGTGCACTCTGGCGGAAAGACTTGCGCCGCGTGGGGCCGTGACGGGGCTGTTTCCCTCTCCACTTACTTTGTGAGTGGGAGAGTTCAAGGTATGGTGTCAGGGCACTGGAATTGTTAGTTTTTTTTAAAGGAATGTTCCACAGTTTGATGGGGTTTAGAACTGGAATAGGCATCTTGAAGGCCTTTCGGTACGGTACACAACCCTGCCCTTCTTAAAACCCGAGCCCTCTAGTTTTTGAGCCACACGCCCACGAAAATTGGGAAAGCTAAATGTGTGTGTGGAGGGGGGGGGGGTCCCAGTCACCGTGACATTCATGACGTCATAGACTCTAGGTCAGCAGCTAGTCCAACTATATTTGCAATGCACACATCTTCTTACCCTGACCTGTTACGAACATGCCCGCGCGTTGGGTGGACTCGTCACCGGATGGGGCCGCTGTTTAGTCATTACGCCCCTGAGCCTGGTTCCGTGGCAGCTGTGCTGCGTGTGATGCTGTGGCGATAGTAGTCTTGATTGTGTCGGCTAGCCTTGATTGCAGCCTGTGTGGTGCGCTAATGTAATTTGTTCCCCTCGACTACACTCTGGCTTTGCAACGAATAAGACTGAGACTGTTTGTGACAAGCAGTCGGTCCTCGCAGCGCATTCCTCGCCCGCAATTGCACGTTACGTTACGACCACTGCTCCATGGAGCTCGAATTTCGTCACTTGTATGGGGCTGCGTACTTGTGCGATGTGAGTTTGGCACAAATTGATCGAGTGAAATACACTTAGAAATTTATTGTGTTTGATGTTCAGTTTCAGCTCTGTCCCGGTGTCCATGATGGCCTGATACATATACGTTGCGGACGAGCTCGAGGCATTGCAGCTTTGTGTGCTTCTCAGGCGTGCAGCCAGAGCCTTGGCGAGGTTGGGCGCAGGGTTTGACAAAAGACCCTTTGATAGTGAATCCCCCCCCCCCCCCCCCTAAGAAATCGCTGGTATGGACTGCAAGTTAATAAGGCCTATTTATACTTTTTCTACCGTCTGTGACCGGGCTTCGGGCATGGGCTTCGTTTGAGGAGAAGGCCTGACCGACATACAGATCCATATCGACTGAGGGGTTTCCGACCGGCGCGAAGGACCCTTTCAACTGTCATTTGAGGGCCAGCCTTCGCAGGCCGGGGCCCGTGAACACGAACTCCAGCTGGCCTTCCGGGGCCTTAATCGTAGATCCGGATGGACCCGAAGGGCCTCTCGGAATCTAGGGGGGACGTGCCCCTGTGCCTGCCCCCTTGTGCCTGCGCTACTGGTTCTATCAGCTAGTTCTTCTTTAATCAGCTATGTCTGGCAGACTAAGCCCACCTTCAACTGTGGCGTCCAACTGAAGTCGCTGTTAAAGGGAGTGTTCCACGTTGATATGGGGTTTTGAACTGAAGTAGCCATCTTGAAGACTTCGGTGCTGTTCACAATCTTGCCTTTCTTAAGACCTAAGCCCCTCTAGTTTCTGAGCTATACGGCCGCGAAAATGAGGAAAAGTGTATCGGGAGAGCATTTCAAAGTCACCTTGGCATTCGTGACATCATTAGGACGTCATTCAAATCCTGCCATTCCATAAGCCATTCGGTGACCAAGGCTAAAAAATGTAATTGTCGAGGCGTCCATATTTCACGTTCGTGAACGCGATTCCCGGACAAAACGGCCGTTAATTGGCGCTCAATCGATGCTGTGCAAGGTACAATGACGCAATCAAACCATGACGCATAGAGGAGCACATTTTCTAAACCGATATTTGTACTGTCTAGAGCAGTCTTCTGCACTTAGACTATGCCGACAGTTATAAGTTAGCTTGTTTCATCATATTTGACGCTTACTCCAATATCTTTAAATGTGAAACATTCCCTATCAGCGAGCCAGTAAACGACGGTTGTACATTTTTAGCGATGCCCGGGTGCTGCACCTGCGTCATTTCCAACGAAATGTGTGGCTTGAATGCGATGGCAAAATAATGAACTTAAGGCATCACTCCCCTTAGACTGGTGCTATTGAACTTGCGTGGTATGACTGGCGTCAACTCCGTGCATTGTTTCATTTTATTTGACAACCTGGAAAGTCCCACACATGCCGTTGATGCCTCGCGTGAAAGCAGAGATAAAGCCGAGAGCAAATATGTACCGTGGCGCTTACGAAATGCCTCTGTCACGCCGCTGAAAACTTAAACCCCGGCGGCTGCCAATGGAAGCGGACTTCACAACAGGTTGGCATGGAAACGGACAGCGTCACGGGCCGCAACGAAAGCCGCCGGGGCGGATGGCTGCTACCGGCTGTGGAGCGGACACTGCGGCCGCTGGCCGTCGCCCTGTGTAACACGACCGCCGTGTCTGGGGCCGCCTGGGGCTTCGGCGCCGCCGTCGCGCCGGTGCCAGGCCAGACGCCGGCTCGGACAGCCGCCCCTGGCAGCACCGCTGCTCGGCCCGGCTTCTGAGGAGAATGCACGGGAATGCAAAATGGGCCATTTCGGGGGGATGGTATTGAGGCTTTAGAGCAGGATATTGCATCTGGAGCTCACATTGGGGTATCAGTGGCATGCAACCGTCAAATAATAACTCCCTCTTCAATCAGAACGTCTCGGCCTGAATGCAATTACTCTTGCGCGTAAGGCAGGGAAATTATCAGTATTTTGGCATGGTGCTCCCGATTTGTCCTAGAGGGCGTATATTTTACCTCAGCGGTCCCATTACTCGCGGATGACCAACAGCGGCCGCTGTTTCAGCTGCGGCAGCCATCTGTCGGCGCTGGCTCCGACCCAGCGCAGCGGCCGCGGCCGCCAAACGCCACCGATCGTTTGCAAGTTGTATTAAGCCACGATGAAATGCGTCAACACAATGATGGGGAGACAAACAATGAACACAAGGATATGCCGCTCGGATGCCGCTGGTCAAGTCAGTGTGCACAAAGCTTGACACCCGTTCACACCGCCGTTCGCACACGTATAAACAGCTAACATTCACATGCCTCATCTATGCATGCGTCACATTCGTACGCCGGTCGTGATGCCTTCATGACTAATTCACCGACAAAGCGACTCAAAGCCCGGCAGTTGAAAACACGCGTGCTCAGGTATGCAGCCTCGGCAGTCGGAGTATTTCAGATATGCAGGCGATTGTCGTATGCGTTGAACACCGGAGTGTGTGTCGCTATACGTAAACTGGAAAAAATGACACGTGCGGTCCAGGGCAATGTCGGACACCCGAAAAACTGGGTTCATTGGGGTTGGGGTCAACGAAAGACGGATGTTTTAGAGAAATCGGGGGGTTCCGGGTAGCCCGCGCCGATATCACAGCAGATTCTGAAGGCGCCATGTGCAAGCCAAGCCACGAAAGGCACGACTTGTCAGAGGCCGGGCTGTGGGCACGCTCAGTGCGACTCAAGCAAACAGCGGGACCGGGGGCACGGCAAACGGCGGCCAGCGCCCGTTGAACCCCGCCGACACGCTCGCCTTTTGACGGCTGGCGGTCTCCGATGACCCTCCCGTGGGTCGGAGGTCAGACCTTTATCAGCAAGACGCCCTCACGCAGCTGGCGTGGGCTCGAACTGGACAAACGTCTGTCGGTCACAGCAGCGCGCTTAACAGGCGTCGTGCCATCCGGTCACATAGCCGCAACAGTCAGCTGAGCCACCGTTTTCCGCCATCGATGCAGCGAGCCAGTCACGTAATGACGTCATTGCACTGCACTGCCGTTGCGTTATCCCGTCACACCAGTGCATCGATCCAACGCCGCGTCATCAGTCCCATCACTGCCGTCAAGCGCCGCCACATCGCCACTTCCACGCCAGCGCGCCTCCCTGCCGTGACATCACCAGTGACGTCACCAGTTACATTGCCGGTTGTGCGCTTCACCGCCGCCTCACCAGCCATGGCATCAACAGTGACGTCACCAGTTACGTTGCCGGCTGTGCGCTTCGCCGCCTCGCCAGCCGGCGGCGGCCGCGAGCGGGCCGGGCCCGAGCGGCCGGGGTGCGCCGGAAGACGGCCGCCACGAGACCTTGGCGGACAATCGGCCGGCCGCAGCGACGGCTTCGGGAGAGACGAGAGGCCGCGCGAGCGAGACGCGCCGCCTGCCGCCCGGCTGGGCGCCGCTGGTGGACAACCCCGGCCCACCCACTGCCGGTCGGGCTCAACGCAGGTGGTGCCCGGCGCCCGGTCACTCACACCTGATCCGACCTCTGGTCGTCGTGGTCTTTTATGGACTTGGCCACTGAAATCAGCAAGATGTGATTAACAGATGGAACACCCGAGCTGATACGCATGGACAGTTTATTCTCTCCGTTGTAGGGTCTAGTTCAGTGCACATGTCCTCTCACGAGGTACATCACGCCGACACGCCCAGCCGCGGTTAGACCACAACGCAGAAAACACACCCGAACGTGAGTTATAACCATGACGGTTCCCAGTCTAACAGGTATGAGCGGGTTTTATGCGGGATCAGCGTCAAAATATAATCAGTGACGCAACAAAAGCTAGAAGCACAACAACAAAGCCCTCCTCTTATCACCCACGTTCAAATTGTGAAACAATTGCGCGGCAATCATCCGAGATGTCAGTGCGCTGCGAACAAGGCGGCGACGCTTGCGATTAAAGGGAGTGTTCCACTTCCGTGTGGGGCTGAAAAACTGACCGAAATAGCTATCTTGAAAATAATTCGGTGCACTTCACGACCCTACCCTTCTTAAAGCCTCAAAACCTCGAGTTTACACGCCTGCGAAGATGTAAAGACTATGTCACGCAAAGTATTTCGAGGTAACCCAGGTGTCGACGCCAACATAACATTATTCAAATCCTATCATTCCATTGGCCATGCGGCGATCAGGGTCAAAAATATAATTATCGAATCGTTAATATCGGGCTCTCGTGAGCACGATTTCCATATACAACAGCCAGCAATTGGCTTACATCCAATGTTGTGCAATGTACGATGACGTAATCAAACAATGGTGCGTTGAGGAGCATGTTTACTAAACAGAAAATTGTGTTGTCTTGAGCAGTCTCTTCCACTTTAAATACTTATAGTAATAAAGCAAAGTAAGTAAGTAAGAAAATATAATATAAGAAAATATAAGTAAGTGGGCACAATAGTATTATAGATAGTTATTCATTCTTTGAGTGTGTCACGCATTTAGCACAACAATGACTGATGGCCAGCTGACAGCAGTTACTTTAGAAATCCTGTTAACGAATGCCAGATATAAAGAACAGGACAATCGCATTCTATTGGCTTTGATCGCCGCATGGGCAATAAAATGGCAAAATTTGAATGGCATTACTACCGCGTTATGGATACCTGGATGACCTTAAAAAAGTCGACAGGAAATATTCTGCACATCTCCGCGGGCTTTTGGCTCAGAAACTAGAGGGGTTTATGTCTTGAGAAGGACAGGGCTGTGAACTGCACCGAATGATTGTCAACATGCCTGTGTCAGTTCAAACCCCACATCAATGTGGAACACTAATTAAAGGAAATGTTCCACGTTTATAGGTGAAATGGCCATCTTGGAGACTTTTGTTGCTGGTCACAATCCAGTTTCTGAGCTACAAGACCGCCAAAATGGGAAAAGACATATCGAGGAGAGTATTTCAAAGGCCCCGATGAAATTGTTGATGCGTTCGTACCTGTTGTTCGTGAGCGTGATTTCCAGATAAAACAGCCGTCAATTGGTTCTCAATCAATGTTGTGCATGGCAAGATGACGTAATCAAACCATGACGCAATGAGGGGCATGCTAAATAAATAGAGAATTGTGCTGTCTGAAGCAGTCCTTTCCACTTAAAATTATAGCAATAGTTATAAGTGAGCTTGTTTCAACAAATCTGATGTTCGCGTCAATGTCTTCAAATGCGAAAAATTCCCTTTAAGTGACGTTTCACCAGCCAGCATCTCACAAAGGGCTGCAGTCAAGCGCAGCTTCATTGGACAACTTGCAAACGCAGGCAGAGCCGTGAGACTTTATAAGGTACCTGCACAAAACATGCGCCTGGTTCCCAAAAGGTATCCTCGGCAACGGGCACCGAGTTGTCCAGCCAAGATGAATCCACGAACCAATATGAATCAAGCCGGTGGATCCAGCTGGAGCTGGGATCCAACACGATAATAACCGATATATCCAGCAAGAGTATGGTTCAGCCCGACACAATGCTGAGTGATCCGGCAGGGGCCAAGATGCAGCCTGGAACAGTGCCGCACTATTCAACAAGTCATGGTTACTCCTGAAATAGATCCAGGGTCCTAACAAGGGTCAAGACCCAGCCTGGAATATCCCCCAAAAGAAGGATCTAGCGTAGAACATACCCAGAAATTCGGCAAACGCAAAGATTTATGCTGGAATTAGCCCGAAGAGTAGCCAAAGCCAAGTCTGGAGAGACGTCAGGGGAACCAGCAAAATCGGCGCCTCATCATCCCACCGGAATAAAGCAAAACTCAGCAAGGAAGCGAGATCAAAACACCACCCACGGCAGTGGTCTCAGCAAACTTGCCAGCATTTGGGTGTGAGACCACTATTAGCCTTGTCTGATGGGCCTTGCCTGCCATCGTCAAATGCGGTTTCTTGACGTTGAGTGGATGCCCCTGAAGTTCTCAGGCCAGGTGAGGCTGTCTACACTTTTGAGGTAATGCACCGGTAGGTGCATTCAATATTCAAACCCACGCGAGTGAAAAAAACGGGCGCGGTTGAAAGTGGGGAATGCAACAAATTATACGCATCCATTGTAATTTCTAGGGGTCAGGGTTATAAGAAAGGGTTTTAAAAACATGGACACGGAGCTCCATATATATATATATATATATATATATATATATATATATATATATATATATATGGAGCTCTGTGTCCATGTTTTTAAAACCAATACCCGTTTCACTAGCCGCATCGCGCAGGGCCGTGTTTTTAACTAAGGAACTGACGGAGCCAGCATGCGGGGTTTGAAGAAATCACAGGAAAATAAATCGCAGCTGTGGTCTATTCGACATCAAACAGAAACAATGTGGTAGCTGTCACCTACACCATGCCTATTCTGACATTGCATATTTCTTAGTAGACACGCACGTGAATGACTGAATTCTGTGGTGTGCTCGCCCCCGGCCGCCTCAATGCATCGTAATTAACCTCCGGCAAACTTATGGTCACCGAGCATTCTAATTTCCATGGTATATTTTCAAACCCCTCAGAACAAAAGACGACTCATCCGTCTTAGCTTGTTTCAACTTTCAACGCCATTCAAGTTCTGTTCCTGTACCAATCGCTCACACCGAATCACTCTCGGAATTTCTGCCGTCCGACAATTTCCACCCTGAGGCCCTGCATTACTGTCAAGCCCTGGCAGTCGAGTGAATCAAGAGCACATTTCCTGATTGATTATCAGCTGGAGCGTTCAGACTGGCAGCCATCACTGACGACGCAGTGAAAATGTCTAAAAGAAGCATACGCGCTTCCCATCCCCAATGCTGTCCAGGGAATCCCAGAAGTAATTGAGAAACGGCGCAATTACGGTTGCTGCTGAAATACATCGACGCGAGAGTAGCGGTGACGTACATGATCTCCAACACTTTCAGCTGGGATCTTGGCGAAATTGAACGGAACACAGATCTGACCACTTCCAGAACCGATCCGAGCTATTTTTTATTATTTTTTATTCTGCCACAGTAGAGCATAACGCAGGCCGGTCTCTGACCATGGCTGGAGAATTGGTCTTGTTACTCAAGAAGTGATGTCAGCTGTCAAGTGCATTTGCGAGGAGCGTTACGCAAATATTTGAGGCAGTGGTAGTAGCCATATTCCTCGCGGAAAAACCAGGAGAACGGAGAGATAGATGCGTTGATATTTCGGCAACATATCTTCATCCAAACGAATATCAGTGGTGATAGCGAATACTGATAGTGAATTATGATTTTGACTACTGATATTTGTTTCGATAAAGGCATGCTGCCCAAATATTAACGCATCCAGGTCTCCACCTCCTGGCTTTTCTACGAGGAATAACGCCATTACTACCGTCTTATCTATAAAAAGCTATGTCTTGAAGTTCCCCCGTGCCACTTCAGGGCCCGAAAAGACTGCTGATTACACCGGAAACCTTGATGGTAGGACATATTTTGCCCCTTGGAGGGTGCAGGCTGTATGCCTCCCATGCTGATTCATCGCCTGATGTGATCAGGCAAAAATTAGTAAACAAGGGGACCTGCAGCCATGTGATCTGCAGCTTTAAATCGCTTTTGGAATCATGTCATCTCTTCTGTATGACCTGTCAGGTTGGGTCAAACGAGGTGAAACCAAGTTTTCCGTTTCTGCACACAATACTTTTGTATGGGCACGAGAGTTCCAACAATGTGTGTTCATCACATCCAAAGAAAAAAGGCGACGCAAGCCGAACACGCCATCATTTACATACGTACACACAGGAGCACGCACACACGGGGACACGCACACACGGGGACACGCACGAGCGGACCAACGTAAGAGCGCGACGTAAGAGCTCTTGCGTACGCGCACGCGCGCACGCAAGAGCGCTCGGAGCAGGTGTGACCTGCGTGAGGGCACTCACTGGAGTCCTGGACGAAGGCGACGCCCCACATGATGCTCCAGATCCAGCCGACTATGATGGGCAGCGTGATGAGCTGCAGCAGGCCGGCCAGCGTGGACCAGGCCAGCGTCTGGCCGCGGCTCGGGTACTCGCTCGGGCCGAAGCAGAAGCACATCAGGCCCGACAGGAATGTGCCTGCCGACAGACGGGAGACGCACATGCAGTCGTACGACACCAGCGGCCGGTACTTTCCGAGGCCGAGTCAGCCGGCGGCCGCTGACCGACTTCAGTGAACTTCCACATGATGATCCAGCTCGGTGTCTTAGATAATATGGTGAGCTTGATATGAACCAGCAAGACTTTGAACTGCTGGTGTATCGACATTGTCAGTTTAAAGTTCTTGTGCCGACAGTTATCAGCCTTCATCATACCAGGAGGTATTGGTTAAACGGCGTGCTTGGTACTTGGTATGTGCTTGTGAGCCTGGTACGCACACATTGGCTATATTGATATATATATATATATATATATATATATATATATATATATATATAACCGATGTGTGCTTGATAGCGTCCTCTACGCGGTACCTCCTGGTACACTGAAGGTCAGTAACCGCCAGCATAAGAACTCAGAAGTCGGAACCCATAATGGCAATACGACAAAGAACCGATTTTGTTACAATTTCTTAATATTACGAGCCCAGCGAGGTTACTTGAACCGTTCAGTTGATGAGCGTTGAACCGATCAGTGAGACCCGTTGCGCAATTTGGGACGAGCGAAGTAATAGCACACGGACAGTTATCATCATAAGCGTGGGAGCAGGGGAGACGGCAGGACGGGCGCTTGCTCCCCCCCCCCTCCCCAGCTTTTGGATTGGGGCGGGAGGCGACACCAACCCCCCCCCCCCCCAATTTGACAGGACTAGGGAGCGTTTTCTGCAGCAGTTGATCCCTGATATCGCTGATCGTAAGGTTTTCATATGACAAAATTAGCTATTGATGTCCACGGAATCCTCAGAAAAATGCGAGCCGGTTATGCTCTTCCTTCACAACATTCAAACAAAGCCTCGTTCGTTGCCTGCCTTCGGTTCTTTTCCTTCGCGTATCTTCCATGTTTTTGTAGACTGGGCACAAACTTGGCAGCGTTTGGCTGTTTTTGATTTCCATGTCAAATGATGCATTTCATGGCGATGAATAAATGCTTTACCGCGGTTGCCAATCCCGTTATGAATGGCAGATATTAACATCTCCACCAGTATGTTTCAAAATGAAATGCCAGAACAACCGACAGTGCCTAGATTCTTCAAGAGCAGATTCGCAAGCGCCAGCTACTAACATTTTATTTGACATGAAGTTCACCCGAGATCTGTCGGGGCAAAAGGTGCCGTGTTCGGTCTGTTCGATGCCTTGGTACATATATTTTAACAGGACAATGCGTGAGGTGTGGTGTCCATTGCCTGACAGGCTGATACACCAGCTGTCTTCTGGAAAAGTGTTGATTTGACTGTAACGGTTTAAAACTGCGATTTCTAGGTGTGTGCCATGCTGCACCATCTATTTGCTGGCCCTCTTCCATGAGTACCTTTGAATCTGTACTACCAACCATCAATATTGACGGTCATAGTGTTCTGGTGAGGGTAGGCATGAAATTATATTCAGCACCTATGATACAGTGGTCATCAAGAACATAATACTAGATAATCCGCCGGGCTCGCCTTGCTGGGTCCTCACTCATTGTTACTACATTCACAATAATTCTAGCTCGCTCTGCGACTGTTTTCTTTGAAACATGCATGAGATGAAATTGCACTGACAACTGTACCTGCAGGCACATTTCTGGCATCACCAAACTAACCAGATCTGCTCAGTGCTTCCTCACGCTGCAGGCTGGGACGGAAAGGGTAGGTATGGCAGGCATCAGTGGCATGGCCAGGGGCAGTTGGTCTGGAGAAATTGATGCTCTGTGGTACTTGTATTTTTAAGCACCTCAGATAAAAAACACTGTATAAGTCAACATTTCCTTAGATAAGCTAGTATATATATATATATATATATATATATATATATATATATATATATATATATCCTAACGTAACAATAGTACATATATGAAGTATATATATCCTGACGTATATCCTGACGCAACAAATGCTCATGACATGTTGACGATTCCAGGCAAAAGACAATGTGCACCCACCTCATTTGTAGATGCACATTTGACTGTAATATTTTCTTATTATCCAGCCCTGGGCGGTATGCAGCTGATCAGCAACTTGTAAGCAGTTAGCAGCTGACCCCTCGCCTGGTAGGGTTAAGGTTGACGAAACCCCCTAAGATTTTCTGATCATATCTTTTCGACACACCGTGCAATCGCGCCTAAATTTTGTTAGCCTCTGGAGGATTTATCGCGCATGTTTTGCTACTAAAAAAATGTCTCTAGCGTTTCTGGCTTATGAGTAGCGACGGCTTTTTAGGAGCACTGCACTGCAATCCACGGCTGGTGCGGGCGACGGGAGGCGGTCGACGAAGTCGCCGACCACGTGTGGTGTGCCTGCACTGTTACATTTATGGAGCCCTTCATCATAAACATGTCCTCATAACACACACAACTACATATCCCTGTGTTTAGAACTACATAAGGAAGACGTCTGTTTAAGTTTCACGTTGCTAAGTGACATGGCTTGTAAATATGGGCACATAAAAGTGAAGTAGTTCGATTACCGAGTAAAACTGAATTGAACTTAAATTGTTTTGTAAAGCATTGCCATTTCACCTTGCCTTGTCGGGTCACTTATTGGCAGTAGCACAACGCTTATTACCAATCGCGTGATCTCGTTGGGACCAATCCACCGCTTGTTTTATCCGAGGCCATATGTTTCGTAGCTTCGAAATGGCAAGGGGCGCGTGGGGGGGGGGCGTCGACGAGCTCTCCTCTTCAGACCGGGGCGCGGGGGGGGGGGGCGTCGACGAGCTCTCCTCTTCAGACCGGGGCGCGGGGGGGGGGGGGCGTCGACAAGCTCTCCTCTTCAGACCGCGTTATGAAGGACGACGAACCGGGGCAAGGACCACGTCAATAGATCAGCTAGGAATTTGTCTTTTTGTACCTTCTCAGCAAAAATGAAAGGCATTTTTTGGGGGGAAAAACTGGCAATTTACAAAAGATAGCTGCTGAGGTGAGGAGTCCTTAGCAGCTAGTTTGCTATCCTGGCAGATCTGGTCTGGGACCCAGGATCTGGCAGAATCCAGGACCCAGTGTTGGCGGCGTGCCTACATGACTTACGATGCGAAATGCTTAAAAAGGGAACCCACTGAAAAGAATATTTGGACTAACTGTATAAGGCAATACCGAGGCAGACTGGAATTGCAGCGTAGGTGTTCAAATCAGATCTATATATGATTTGACTCTCGGTGATTTGCAATATCTTAAAGATTGGTCCGGGCCTTTTGATTGGATAGTTTCTGGGATCAGCGCCCACGCTAAACAGTCCTCGTGGCGTGAGCCGTGACACCACCATCTAATCGGGGGATTCCAGATCAGTGACAGAATTTCGCACCAAGGGCTTAACGTTCCACGATGCACGGCACGGTCCGTCCTGCCCTGTGACACCGCCGGACTCCAAGCCGCTTCCACCGACCGTGGGCTATCCCATTCAGATATAAATCGTGGGCGCCTAAAGCGACTCGAACCCACCATGCCGCGGGTTAATCGGATTGCAGGCGCTCTAACCAACGGAACTATCTGTATGGGCAATTGTGGAACATTTCAGCTTATTTAAATCTGCAACTGAAACACTTAACTCACTAAGTGCGTTGACTTCTCAGGCAGGATGTGTCTGCTACATCTAGCGGATGTCCCAGTACCACCCGCACTGTCATCGCTACCCGTCCCATCCTCCGATGAAGCACCAAACGTCACTCCACCGGACCCCGCTCCCCTGCCGTCATTTTCATCTTCGCATGGTAAGAAAGATGACCAAGATAACCTTGTTTAGCATACTTATTACACAAGCTTTCCAGACTACGTAGGTGCATCACAGGCTTAGGAACTATGAGCTTATACTATTTCATGCAGCTCATGCAGCAATGCTGTGTTTACCTGAGTATGGAGCTTAGCTGTTCATAAATGTGAATTTGCAATGACGCATGTAGGTACTGGGCGCCAATCGCAGCGATGTCTTGCAAACAGTGATACGAGCTGACCAACCATCAGTCTGTATGTGTGACGAGCCTCTGCTTTGTTTCCTTCAACGACCAGTATGCTTATTAGGTTCCATAATACGAAGATTATTTTACTACCATAACCAACGCGTGGAGGGCCTCTAATACATCACTGATTACTGCCACATCAAAAGAAAGCATACCACATCTTATCACGTCTTTTCTGGATATACCCTGAACTCCTCTAAACCAGTGGTGCAGTCATGTGAATCTGGGATAGGGCTGAGCTTAGGTTCTGCTCGCTGTGGCCACAAACGGTAGTTTCCGTTTTTGGTGGCGACTTTTCGCCGCATCGACAGCTGGGGGGGGGGGGGGGGGGGGATCTCTAACGCTCTGTAACTCTTTAAAATGTCTGGTGTTTCCGGCATCATTATTTTCTTTCTCAGGTATCGTGATCACGAAAGCTGACGGCATTGGCTTTGGGGACATGGATGTTATGGTGTGCTGTACTGTAGTGCGTATGAGGGTTCGTTGATTTCTAAAAATAAATAAATGCCTCACAAAAGATCACTTCTTCACCTAAATGGCCGAACTTCCGCGAGGAAAAAATGGGACAAAAGGCTTGACAAACCGCTTTTCTTCCTCCCCCCCCCCCCCCCGCAGCTTTGAAACCATTCCCGCGCCCCTGGTGATCACTCAATACTATGTAGGTGGTGCCTCAAAGTAAGCTAATGCAGGCACTCCCGATAACTCGTACCGATGGGTTTTATCAATACGTTGAAAAGCCCATGGTTCGTACAGATATAGCAGCACACGTTAAATTACTAGCAGACGCGTGCAATCGAAAGAGGGGCATCAGCTGTAAAAGGATATAGACTCACAGGCAAATGTAACAAACTAAGGTAAGCCGGGCCAGTTAGGGCAACGCTCTGAAGGCTACTCCGTAAAATGCAAATCAGGTTGTGTGGTTATCAACTTGCACTTTGACAGCATTGCACAGCACCCGCCATGCGTTATTTGCAGATCCATTAAAAT